TGGGTCAAACAGTGTAAAATGTGAGAATAAATCGTCTTTTCCAAATTACATCCTGACAAAAATATCACCAGATTTTTTACTTTCAGTACACGGTGTATGTGTTGTACAGGGTTTTTATTAGTTTTGGACCATCACTCAGCGCGTACTGAGCGTTCATAAGTCATAACAAGCCACGTGACGAGTAATTTTGTTGGGAACAGTAATTTTAATTCTTTCGCATTTGCAATTAAATTTCGATAAAAATATAAATTATTTAATTATTTAGATCAAGATTAGGTACATTAAAACACAATATTGTGTTTTACCCGCTGATGATTGGTAATAATTTTCACGAGATCTATTCCACCAATAAGCGATCGCATTATATTGAGTGCAAACGTAGTGGTTTGTCATTGTTCGTCGTAAACGAATCATTAATATTGGCGACGCTAAGATTGTCAACTGAAAATCCCTAAATTTTCAGTCTAAAACCGTTTTAGCTAGACAGTTCCTATTTGGAGTACATCTTTGTTAATTTAAGTTTGATATATTTCTGAATATGTAAGAAAACAACATAGAGGTTGTTATTTTTCGTGGGACTCAATTCCTTCGACCTCTTCATACATTTTTTGCACGCATCTGTTTATCTAATTTACATTTTTAATACAAAGTTGGTTCTTAAATAATTTTTGTTTATATTGACATAGGGTATGGATTTCGAAGGAAAAATATCCGGTCTTAGATGTAGATACTAAAATATAGAGAATTTCAATTTTTCGACAAAAAATCATATCGTATGCCATTTTTTTGTATATTTAAGAAACGTGTTAAATAAATAAAGATGTGCACCAAATTACAGTATATTAAACAAATTAGAATTAGCCCAATTAAAGGAGGAAGTAAATGTGGCCAGAAATTATAATTTATTTTTTTATCACAATTCACAAATTCTTGGAAGCGATTATAACTAAACCTTTTTTAACTTGAAAAATGTTTAAACTTTTAATAAAATTCATCATCCTATTTTGTTTGTTAATTGGTGTGCATAGTAATTTTACTTCAAATTATGTAAATTTTAATAGACCCTAATACCACAAGGGTCTCATTTGCGCCTTTTACTATTTTCTTTATTTATCAATGATATTCTTCTTCTTTTCTTCTCAATCGCATTTTGTCTGTCTGATGATGACTTGAAAATGCTCAAAGCAATATTACCCGTTAAAAATTGTCAAAATTTGCAAGCCTTAATTTCTTCTTCAAGTATTTAGTACGGACTGTTCCAAAATATANGGCCAGAAATTATAATTTATTTTTTTATCACAATGCTAACTATAATGCTAAATTCTTGGAAGCTCTTATAACTAAACCTTTTTTTAACTTGAAAAATGTTTAAACTTTTAATAAAATTTATCATCCTACACTGAAAGAAATGGACTTATTAAACTGTTTATCTAGAATAATGTGTATAGTGCATATTAAAACTTTTATAACAAATATACAACTTTTATTAAAAAAAAGCAATCATCTCCATACTCATTATTCAATGAATTTAACTGGAAGGTGCTTAATACATCTTATCCATCTATGAAATAAAGGTTATAATGAATTACTTATAGTGTTATAGACTTTATGTTCCAATTGTATAGTAGGGAAGATATGTTGTATAAAGACCAGTATCCGAATTTGTATATAACAACTGTATTAACAGAATTATTCGTTCTTATACTGAATATGTTTCCGTTTTTAACGTGTAAAACGCGTCTTATAATGGTTAAGTGATCGTCACCTCTCGGTGCATAATCGGTTATGATCGTAAAATTTCCGACAGTCCGCTGTGCATCGACTTACGAATATTACACGTCTAGTTTGATGAAAATAGACAGCATAGGCACGTGTGTTGTGGGATACATGATCATATCGCGTTGTGTGAAATGGAAATTATGTAAGTATCTAACTGTTTTATGGCTTGTAGTTGTTTTGTTTTTTAAATGTAAATCTTGTCCAAATCTTAAAAATTATTATTTTGTATGCCCTATTAGAAACCGCTGATGTTAAGTTTTACATAATATGGAGGAACAGAAGGTTAACGGTAAAGAAGAGCATGAGTAATAAAGTCAATCAACCAGAGGAAATAGAATTAGATGGAAAGAACCTCAACCTTTCAGGGGATGATTCGTTCTTAAGGCGGAAGAGTTATAGTGCAACTTCTCATGTAATACAAGAAAATACGGGTGCATCGTTGCTAAGAAAATAAACTGGACAGTTTTGCATCGTTGCTAAGAAATTATACTGGACAATTTTGGGAGCGATTTGTCATCATTTCTAATACTTAAAACATACATTTAAGGTTAAGGTTCTAATGTAAACATAAAACATACATTTATGTTTACATTAGAACCTTAGCTTGTAATTACAGTTATCCAATAAAATTTCTGAAAAGTTAATGTCATATGTTTTTAACTCATACAGAGTATACAACAGTTTAATACATTTATTATTGTAAAACTTATAACCAGTACTAGATGTTCTAATAATGATATGGAACACGTTAATAACAGTTATTGCTATTATTTCGTAAAGGGTATAAAAAACGTTGTATACTAGTTATACAATAATTTAATAAAGAATAAAGTTTATAGTCACTATACAACTGTGCTAGCAGTACGTGATTTATATCTAATATTCACCTGTTTAACTGTCACATATAGTATACAATGGTCTTATAATGGCATATAGAATTCTAATAAAGAATAAAGCGCATTTCTTTCAGTGTATTTTGTTTGTTAATCGGGGTGCATAGTAATCTCCTAACTGGATAAAATCATATTTATCCAATAGGTCACAAGTTAATAATTTTACTTCAAATTATGTCAAATTTTAATAGACCCTAATACCACAAGGGTCTCATTTGCGCCTTTTACTATTTTCTTTATTTATCAATGATATTCTTCTTCTTTTCTTCTCAATCGCATTTTGTCTGTCTGATGATGTCTTGAAAATGCTCAAAGCAATATTACCCGTTAAAAATTGTCAAAATTTGCAAGCCTTAATTTCTTCTTCAAGTATTTAGTACGGACTGTTCCAAAATATAAACAAATGCTTTATTAAATTTACTAGGCTGATACATAATTTTCGTTATATTAGGTATACATATTATATTAATGCTGTTTCTCTAAAAAATATGCAATACATTTATACATTTGGGAGTAACGGAAAACGTTAAATTATCGTTTGAAAATCACATAAATAATATTGAAGAAAACATGCAACACATCTCTAAATGATTTTGTGGCCCTAGAATTTCAATTATTTTATATAATGCATTTGTAAGATCACATATTGAATTTGCGAGTATGGTTTGGAATGCTCAATATGTCGAATATATCGACAGCATCGGAAAAGCAGAAAAAAATTATTCAACCCATCGATTCAATCAAAACTTGCAGTTTCTAAGTTTGGTATAAGACTTATGTTGCGGTAAGTTGTCTATTGCTCACGAGAGCGGGCACGTGCTATCATTTAAATTCTTACGTTTCTTTATTTTCTTAGTTGTGATCTTTGTGCTTGACTTTGCATTTCATTCGATTTTTTTACAACCATGAACCACCATGAGCAGATGCTGTTCTTACACTCACAGTAGGGTTACGTTAAAAAAATTCGAAAATTACTTCGTACGCCTGCGCCTCATTGGACTCCCAAATTCACGATAGCTTGAAATTAGAGCTTTTGATTCCATCGTTCTTGCATGGATTTTCCCAAAAAAACCTTGCAGAAGGTTGCCTTCTATCAGGGAAACGTTGCCGATGCTCTTTTTGAGCCGTCAGATTATTTCCATTACAGAAACCATAAACAAAATGCATGTCGGCATATTCACGGTTAGTAAAAGCATGATAGTTCATAATTGTAAAAAAATCGATTAAAATGCAAGTCAAGCACAAAGATCACAACTAAGAAAATAAATAATAACGTAGGAATTTTTTAAATGGTAACACGCGAAAGTAACGATCATTAGTATCATTACAATGAAACTGTCACCATGAAAGATGCCTACTATGCGAAAATGTTAAAAAAAGTTACTGTTCTGGGTCATACATTATTTAAAAAATAATTATTTCTGACTAAACTACACAGAATTTGAAAAAAGTATAGACATCTTTTCTTTAAAGAAGTCTAATTCATTAAAAAATAATATTATTTTCTTGATCATTCAGAGGAATATAAACAATTCCAAAAATTTTTGTTAAGGGTAATTAGAAAACTATCCTTATTTATAATCGATTTTGATGAAATTTATGATAGTTAAAAACCCTTATGGTATGATTATTACCTACAATTTTCATCCCGTCATCTTAATCAAAACGAAAGTTATTTTAAAAAATATCCTTTTGGATATTTGGATAAGACCCCTTTGGAGGGCCATATCTCTGCAACGGTGATCCGGAGGATCGATGTTTATAGAAACTTTTTTTACTATTTTTGGCTCTACTTTCACCTCCTTAAATATTTTACAAACTTTTCCAAACACCCTGTATAATACGAACCTTCCAAATATGTAGTTTCTGTCAGTAGTTCTTCTGTCATATGGATTTATTATTGTATTAACAACGCTATTCTTGTATTCAACAATTGTGGTCTCTTAATTTATGTACCTTACTTTTATTGACTTTTACTTTATAATTATTCAGTATATTGTAATGTTTGTTAACATTGTGTTAGGTTGCTATGCGTATGTCTCTAACTAAAACACTTTCAGCCTGACAATCAAACATGGTAATATATTCAGCAGATGTTGAATTTTGTATATAGGTAAGCTGGTCTAAATTGTCTTATTTCGATCCCAGGAGTCTGTGGTCGAGCAGTGACCCAACACCTAGACACAATTAGACTTGTTTTCTGGCAATTGTATGGTGGCTTTTCATTTACTTGATTTAGTTCTACTGAAAAGCTGCAGACGACCCAGACGGTTTAATACATGTTATTTTGTTATTTAAATCATTTATAAGCACATTCAAAAAACTTACCGACATAATGGCCAAAGGGATGACGTAAAAGAGTACGAAATGGATCATATCGAAAAGTTCAGAATTATACTTTTGTCTATTGAGAACGCAGACGGTTTCACTGTTATTTCCTGTGGGAACGGTAACCGTATTGCCCCAATAGAACTTGGGGGAGCTGTATAGGATGCAAGTAATCCACACTCCCAGGATTATCAACTGAAAAAAAATATCTATGTATTATGTTGTTAATTGTGTCAACATATTATTAATTCTAGTTTGTCTAATTCGTCTTGAAATGTTTATAACAGAAAGGGATAGATGTAAAACATAAAAAAAATTGGAAAGGTCAATAAAAACGCTTCCATTAATTTACATCCACAGCTTAATTTTCTTTGTAAAGCTTAACTGTTTTGTTTTCCATTTTACATTGTTTTCTTGTTTTTGAAGTCTTCAGACTCAACCGACGGCCAACTAAGTTAAAACATATAAGCGGATTGTGAACCCCTCTTTAAAGATAAATGTTGTGGTGCTTTAAATAGATAGGAAGGCACAAAGGAAGTGGACAATAAAAGGGTACCATTTATTTTGAACTCGACGTAAAAACAAAGTTCCCTTTGATTCTTTAGAAGTTTCTAAAGACATCTTTCTAGAATACATGCACTAATAGACAATCACTTCTACAAACAGCATTATAAATCTATGAGAAAAAGACTACAATAGTGAGAAAAGGGACACATTTGTAAATAAATAAAACATTTTAGGATAAATCTGTATGACGTTCATCCAATGGAGTATTCGTATTTCAAGCGAAATCTGACAAGCGAATAAGACACTTTATGTAACAATCCGACACAGTTTTTAGGTCCTATCCAAAAAGTTGGGCGTCCTTTGTTTACGGTACGGGTTGTTCAGGTGGTTTTGTTTTACATTAAACCTGTTTTAAACGGATTGTTTCACGTCTAGCTAGAGATAAAGAGGATCTAATCCCATTAAAATTCAGAAGCAATTTACAGGTTAGTATGCGTGTTTCATGATTTTGGCGGAATAATGTATGATGTCGCTGAAGGACAAAAGTCTTTTACCATTTTTTTTGGCAATGCTAAAATTTTATGGAGTCTTTCCTATAAAGTTTTTATCTAGGACGCTTCTTTAAAAAGATACAGGGTGTTAAACTTTAAAAAATATTTTTAATTTTTTTAAATAATATAAAATCTTGTAAGTGAAATAATTTGAAATTGGGCACACGTATTTAGGTAAACATTGTCCAAAATCTGAGGGCTTTTCCTAAAATTTACATGTTCCGGTGGCGGAGATTCAGGGCATCGGTGGCATATTTTTCTAAATAAAATAGTACGCTACTGCTTTACGGAACCACCGTGATATTTTCGGATTCGTCTTTCAATTTTCTACAAATTACTACACTTACGTTTTTCGAAAAAAGCCTGATTTTCGAGTAAAACTTAAAAAACCAACTTTCTATACAGGGTGTTTCTAAAATAGGGTTCCAAACTTCTGCTGCGTTTATAACTCATTAAAATAAGCCAAAAAGTTCCTATTAACATGTGCCTTAAAACGCACCCTTAGGAAGTTATATGCCCTTAAAAGGGCTCAAACAAAACTGTTTTTTTTTCTGTTATTGACAAAACGGTCGCAAATAAATAGAAAAAAATTTATGGGTCATACATAACTTTTTAGGTTAAATAACATGAGCTACTCCGTTTTTCGACATGCAAATCATATGCGTCCCATTTAGGTAGGTGAAGGGGGTTTTCGGCCCGTAATTTTTTTTATTTCAATTTTTTACAATTTTCTCTACAGATTTATAAAATTTTAACAAATTTACGTAAAAATATTATCTTTGTCCAAATCGATATTTCCAATGGTTTTCGAGTAAATTGAGTTTGAAAATTACTCTGCTCTTCCAGTTATTAGGCCAAAAATAAAAAAAATCTGTTTACCATGGCAAATAAAAGACTCACGTTGCCACAACGCTTAACAATTTAAGTTATTGATAAACTGTCAATTGAGCTTTGCAGTGTTTAATTAGTAAAAGTGGTGAGTGGAAAATTTAAGTAAACAACATTATTGTAACTCATAAAATGGAGTCATATTCAAACACGGAAATGGCAGATATGCACTTTATGTACGGCCGTGCGGCTGGAAATGCATCAGTAGCGAGGCGTCTGTATGCGGCAGCATACCCGAATAGAAGACTTCCTTCTCGACAGGTATTTCAGAGGATCCATCAACGTTTATGAGAAAATGGTTCGTTCCAACCAAGAGTAAATGATCGTGGCAGAGACAGATTTGTAAGAACACCGGTGGTGGAAGAAAATGTATGTATATATGTATCAAAACTCAATAAAATAAATAATTTTAGCACGAATTTTGAGTTGAAAGAACTATGCCACTTCCGATTTAATAATTGGTGTTCATCAATACGTTCCAAAAAATTCACGTTTTAATGATTAGATTAAAAAAAATTCTTATTTTTAATGATCTCTCTGTTAATTCATTGAAGTCTAACTAAATTATCATCTACATCTTAGAATCTACACAGTAGAATGCTGTCGTATCTGACTAAAAAGCAAGGGGTTACAACGTAGTTTTTATCTCTGCAAGATTTTGTCGATTGCATAGAAAATTCCCTAAATAATTAAGTATTTATAGAGTAAAATCCTCGATCGATCTTTGCAAAATTTTAGGGCAGAATTGACATATGTTTTATTATTTGTTCACAAAGATTCAACAGTATTTATAAATATTTACTTATTTTAAAAATTGCTCCAAGTATACATATGATTTTCTACTAATTTTCGCCCATTGGTAATGCAAAATTAAATTTTTGAGTCGCAAAATCGTCAAACAAACAAAAAATAATGAATGACTTATTTTATTTAGGGTTTACTTTCAATGTTACACAGAAAATATGTAGAAAAACGGGTATTTTTTCGTTCTTTTTGTATGTTTGTTGTTCCCCTGAATTTAGCAATGGTTTTTTGGAATAGGAAAACTCGGATTCTTGTTCTACATAATATTTGGGATATTTCTATCACCTAGTCTATAACGAAACATTCAGTCTATCATGAAACATTCTATGTAATGTTATTTTATAAATGTCTCAATGTAGCGGTTTATTTTTAATACGAAAGGAATCACGAACAGAAGCTAGTACCTACAATAAGTAACATTTTCATTAAACCTAACTTTATTGCGCCATAAAGACAATAAAGCATACGCTACAGCAGTAAAACTTGCCTCGCTTTAGTTAAAACGTCGTTTAATTAGTTTTTGTCATATAAAATCATATTGTAATTTATCGCGAACTGAAACGACTGTCCCTGTAGATTAACAGTGAGATAATTTCTTTCAGCCAAATGGATATTTTGTGGAAATTGTACTAGAGAATGAATGTTAGCAATACCTAGACCCATAAATTGTATCCCTTTTATCTATTTGTCAACGCACAGCGAAGCGAAACTATTACTCGATCCATCCATTTTATTATATCCAATACCTAGCAACATAACTCAAAATAATGGCAAAAGTTTTCTTTCATCTGTTTTAGTTTAGGCCGTTATGAACGATTGCACTTAAATTTTAGATAATAAACAAAGTGTATACAATAAACCGAGATCAGTTTTTCAAATAATAATAATAACAAAATAGTAAAAAAATAATAAACAACATAACTTCACTGCACTTGTGGTAAGCTTATTTAAATTTCAAGAAAATTTCATATAATGCAAAAATTAGTAAAAAAAATTCATTAAATAAAATAATGCTCTGAAAAAAGATAAACATAACATAAAATATAAAAACAGCACAGAAACAATTGTCACAGATAAAATTGGTTGTGTTCAATCTTTCAATACATCGTAGAATAGTTATGCAGTTATATAGGGTGTCCCATAACTACGCGTATGACGGATGACCACAGATTCCTGGGTCAATTTAGACTAATTCACATTATTCGAAATGACTTCTTGAAATGTTGCATTTTTTAAATAATTCTAATATATGCCTTGCTTTCAATTGACACATTTTGATGCAATAATGGCAAATATTTTTCAGTTCGCTAAATTGTTAAAATATCGTCTGTTGTACACGTATTTTGAAACATCCTGTATATGAGCGCTATCTATTTAGACATTTTTTAATTAATTAATACAATATGATACTGTTCATTTTTCAGTTATATTAATTGTTAAGTTTAATATTAAAAATCTCAGCGATTTATTTCCGCTGAGTCTTAACTTTAGAGATAAGAAAGAATCTAAATCATCCAGACGTTTCTATGCCAACTAATAATAGAGTCCTGGAACTAAAGAGTGAAGAGTGATTACGAAAAGAAATAATTTATCTTATACAAAGAAAATTACTTTTTTAAAAGTTTTACGAGTTCGAAAAACTTTAATACAGACCTACCAAGTCTTTGACTGAATGGTTTTATGGTAGCCTGGAGGAAACTGCAAATTTATTCCGAGAAAAGTAATAAAGTACGTATTCTGCAATCTCGTAGTGCAACAATAAATGTTTTATAATGCTTGTTTTGTATAACGATTTTTGCAAACTATTTTAATTAAATCAGATAGCAAAAATTAGGATACTACCTAGCTAAAACAGAAACAATTAACAATTCATTATTTTGCGTTTTACGAAGAGTTTTGCAGCAAAAATAAGTTTCATATAAAGTGCTACAATATTTTTTTAACAAAATATTTTGCATGTTTTTATTTGTCGAAGAAATTTTATTCTAACGTATCACAAATGTCAGAATATTTGCATATCTGTAAAATTTAAGCATTAAAAAAAAGATTTGGATAGATATAATAGCTGTGTCTACCTATGTCTTAAGCACTGATATATTTTTTTTGATGCCATTTCTTAAAAGCGTAGGTAAGACTTCTAATAATTTGAAAGCAAGCTTTTAGGGTTGTCTTTTATAAAAACATAAGTAGTAACCAGGCAAATTAGAAGTTAATAGCATCAGAAAGATTTTTAATTAGACACTGGTATAGGCAGTAATTAATAAGGATCGGGTATTCCAAGTTCAACGAAAAAACTAAAGAAAAAATAATCAGGCTTTATATTTTTATGCTAATATTAAATTTCAATGGTAGGTATTAGAGGAATGGGGTAAATTGAAATAAAAAAAAAATACCTTCCAGAATTATTTTGGTTTAAGTTTTTTAGAGTTTGAGCTCTTCAAAAGA